GGGGGGGGGGGGGGGGGGGGACATTGGATTCTGTAAAGAAAGAGAGAGACTGGGAAGTTAGCCTGGACTAGATATACTTTTTACTCACCAATAGAGAGAGAGGGGGGGTGGGGGGAGGGATGTTTGACCCCTTATGTGGGTGCAAGCGGGATTCAATCCCGATCGAGGATCACTGAATGCTCATTATAGCCCTATTCATAATAATAACAAGAACACACACACACGGACTAGGTTGAATCTTCAGACCTAATGACACAAATATCATTGATGACTGCTCCATCTGTCATCTCATGATGTTCTTGCAACGTGGGCTATGGACACTTAAAGGGGAGGCAAAATTAATCCCTCTTCATTATTTTATATTGGTTAGCTAGAATTCGGCGCCAGAATCATTTTCATTGCATGAGTTTGAAATCCAATCACCTCAATTGCTACCAACTGTGCTCCGATGAGATATAGACTTTCTATTCGAGATCGATCCCATTTTCTTTCTCTTAATTGTATTTGCATTCGAGAAAATATCAACCACGTTACGTTTAATTGTTCCAAATCATCGATATTTCCTTTTCTTTCAGGAGTGTTATTCATCCTGTCAGACTTTATGAAAAAAGGCTGGCCATAGCGTCTCATACGCTAGCTAGCTAGGATCCAAATATCACAATCGAATGACCTTGAACAGAATGTTGCAAGGCATATGGTCTTCATATAATAGCGCTTGGTGCTTTTTGAAAGTGACACCGTAACGAGAAAAATCACCAAAATGAATGCAAGTTGGTGGTTAAATTAATGCCTCAGGTAGTTTTCACGACATTGCTTCCACATCAAGATCATTTCCATCAAACTTTCCTTTCTCTTGTGAAGACCAGCTCGGTTCTGTCAAGCCTTTCACATCTATTGATGGATTTTATTTTGAAGACTTCGTGTGTATACTGTTTGCTTGCTCTGTGTGTGAGAGAGAGAGAGAGAGAGAGAGTCATCGTCAAATGTGATTTATGAAAATAAGGAATGATTCCTCTATGAGATTTTCTGACTTATTCTCGTCTTTGTCTCGTTGACTATCTACACCAAGAGATAGTAACTCTTGTCAAACGGTAGGCCATGGACAGCTTAATTTTCTTACCTTAAAAAATATAAAATATAAGTGTTATTAATATATTTTTTAAGTAGAAAAGAATTAAAATATATAAAAGCTGATATAACAATTCTAAAAATAATACAGATAACTTTTAAAAATTTAAACATGCAACATCTAATATATTTTTTTAATTAACTAATAAATATATAAAAAAATAATTTAATTCAGCCCAAGTTAAACCACCAAATATATAATCTAACTAATATGATTAAAATAATTTTATAAATAAATAAATAAATAAATAATAAAATTTAATTTAAAATTAATTAAATATTAAAAAAATTAATTAAAAAATTTGAATTAACTTACTAAATCCTAAACCTGGTAAACAATTTAGTGAATGATAAATTAAATAAAAAACTTAAAATAACAAAAAAAAAAGCATTAAAGAAAAAGCACGCTTTATGAGAGGGTAACAGTGAATTCATCTACCCAGGTATAACAATCTTGTAAAAACTTTACTCATGTTTGTGATTTTGTACAAGCTCCTCTCTCTTCGCCATGGAGGATGGCAAAAGAAATATATACGCCAAAATTATTTTTCTAGCAAGGAAGCCATACATATAGTAATGTTGTGCTGGTGGCTAGCTTGCAGTTGCAGGCAATATGAGAAAGCTATATATGATTAGAGCTGTGGGTTAGACTCTACTCTAGAGGCACAGGTCCCAAAACCCAGCTAGAGTTTTTGAATTTTAATGTTATAGAAATTAACAGTTTATTTTTATATTTTAAATTTTTTTTGAAAAATTTTAAATTTTTATTTTAAATTAATATTTTATTATTATTATTAGATTATTTTAATATGCTAATGTAAAAAATAATTTTTTAAAATTAAAAAAGTATTATTTTAATATATTTTTAAATAACAAATATTTTAAAAATTAATCACAATTATATTTCCAATATATATTTTAAAATTTTAAGAGGTGTTTTTTTTTTTGTCTTGCAGATTCTATTGAAAGTAGATGATGGTGATTATATTATGAGTTATGTGTCTCACTAGCTAAAAAAAAATTATATTATATTTATTTGAAATACTATTAATAGATCATCTAACTTCAATAATTATTTTATATTTGTTTAAATCCTTATATTAATACCACATCTCAAATCTCTCTTCAACTCTTTTTCTGTTATTATTTATTTTTTTATTTCTAGTTTATATAGTTAACTTTCTTGTGGTTTAATCCTGGTATTGTCGGATTATTTATCACTTTGACACTTCTATATTTAGAAGAAAATATCAATCTTTTGATTGTGTGAATGATCTTTTTAGATATAATGATCTGTTAAGGCACTTCTAGGATGGAAATGAACCGAGTTCCAAATAAGTTGAAGCTTTAGACTACTCGATAGAAAAATTCAAGTATATTCCTCGATAACGTCTAAGACATTGGCATCTTTAAAAAGCCTAGTAAATGTTAACACTCTATAAAACAATAGGTCTTGAAAGTGTTAATAGTTTAAATAAATTGAATTTCCAAGAAATGGAAATAATTTCTTTAAATTAGTTAGACTGATTTACTTGTTGGATTTTTTCTCTTGTTTAATTTGTTTAATTCTTTTCATAGTTTTTTTATATTCTTTTGGGTTTATTTGGGTTTTGCAGGTGTGACAAATAATTTTTAAATAAATTGAATGTTATTTTCTCTTTTATTATTTCTCTTTTAATAATAATCATTTCCAATGATCTTTGATAATTCCTTAAAAAAATTGATTTAATTTGTTTCTTCATACTTGTGATGATCTAACATGTTCATTTTAAAATCTTTATTCATATTTTAAATTCCTTTCACAAACTAATATTAATAACACTAAGAAATACATCCACATTCACAAAAATTACTTATTCATATAAAATCATTGCTTTAACAAAAACATTGTTTAACTATTGCATTTTCCCAGCATATCAATGCAACAAAATAAATCATAAACTTAATCTTTTGTGCTTGTTTGATACTTAGTCATTAATGTAATTCATAGGCATAAACATATATTTTGACATCATTAATCATATATTTTGTTATCATCAAAATCATAAATGATTGATGTGCATGTAAACCAACAATTTAAGACATGACCCTATAAAAAGTAATTGAAATAAAATATTAAGAAAAATTTAAAATTAATTAAATATTAAAGAATAAAATTTAAAAAATAATAAAAAATTCAATAAAACTCAATGTTGAAGGATGAAATTTTTTAAAAAAATAACATGAAAAAATTAAAGAAAAAAATCCTTGTGCTTGAGTCTATTTTATTTTTTTAAGTAATTGTAAACTTACTTTTATTAGAAAATTATATGATAACATAATATTTTCAAACTCTCTTAAAAAAGAACAAAAAAAATATTAAAATGCGAGCCAAGGTATGAATTTGGAATTACACTTGACTTAATATTAAAGAAAAAAAAACATTGGGTCCACTTAAAGTTTACCAAACAAAAAATGAGCAGTGAAGAAAAATATAAAAAAATTAAAGAAAATAAAACCAAAATATTATTTGAGAAATATTATAAAATTAAATAATAATATTTTCATAATGAATTTAAAACTAAATCTAAAAGGAAAAAAAAATCAAGTATCAACCAGATGTTAGGGTGTTCACTTAAAACTATGATAACTCTATAAAAATTAAATTGAAAAAAAATATAAAAAAATTAAAATAAATCATATATTAATAAATGAAGTTGAGAAAAAATAATTCAATAAAACAACTCCATAAAAAAAAAACAACCAAAGAAAATAAATCCATGCACCTTGGTCTTTCTTTTATTTTTCAGTGATTATAGATGTTTTTTCATTAGTAAATTCTATTAGAACATGATATTGTCAAATACTCTTAAAAATAAAATAAAAAATAAAAATTTAGTCAAGGTATGAATTTAGAATTATATGGGAATCTTTTGCACTTATTTAAGGGACGTGGCATGGTGACAAAGAGCTTGAGATCTACACAATAGATTTCAAATTCAAGTTAGAGTATGTATTTTTTATAAAAACCTGGAACAGTCGGGGTTTTATTCACTTGTCTAGGCCTACGATATATGCTTTCTGAGAGATAAAGTTTCCTCGAATTCAAAAAAAAAAAATCTTTTGCACTCTTGACTTAATATTGAAAGGAAAAAGAGATAGGGGTATGTAAAGTTTACCAAAAACATATATAACCACAAAGAAAAAAATAAAAAAAACATAAATTTTACCAAAAACAAAAAAGACTGAGCTATGAAAAAATTAAAAATAAATAAATTGAGAAACAAAATAAGATTCAATAATAATTGTTTTATAGTGCATTTAAAGTTAAATTCAAGATAAAAAAATAGCATTAACCAATAAAATATATGTTTGAAACTATGATAATTTCATAAAAAAATAAAATAAAATATGAAGAGCAATTCAAATTCAACTAAATATGAAAGAATGTAATTGAAAAAAATAATAATAAAAATTTAATATTAAAAAATAAAATTAATAAATTAACAAATTTAAAAAGAGAAAAAAATTTATATGATGTGGTCCTCTTTCTATAGTAATTATAAACTTTCTGTTTTTTATTAGCAAATTAAATAGTATCACTCTTTAAAAAAAAAAAGGAAATTAAAAAGTGAGCCAAGGTATGAATTTGGAATTATATGGAAATTTTGTGCACTCTTGACTTAATATTGAAAAAAAAATAAAAAGAGATACGATATATGTAAAGTTTTTTTTAAAAAAAAGTGCCATGAAAAAGAAAAAGCACCAATGCCAAAAATCAAATCTAAAACAAACACGTATCTCATAATACCAACGTGTTAATCTACTAAATTATAACATCAAATTGTTATGTAATTATTCAAAAAAAAATATTTATTAGTTATATTATCATGTAATCAATTACATATCATTTAAGTATAACAAAAGCTAAATGGCGTTAGTTTCTTATTTTATTTTTTTACAAGATGTTTTTTTTTGTTATTTATATTTTTTTTATAATTAAAATTCATAATTATTTTTATTTGTTTATTATTGGTTGAGTCTGAAAACATATCAAATCTAAGCTCTTTGGATTTGGATACCACTTCAGACCTAAGGATTGGGTCTAACATGACAATAGACTCAAAATTCTTGAATTTGATTTAGCCAATAAACCCAATGCTCTTGAGTCTGGCATGATTACCGAACTCATTGCTCTTCAAAGATACTGAAAATGTTTTTTATAAAAAAAAATAATTAGAATTTCTATTTAGGATACTTTAAATAGTTTAAATGTTTTTTTTATAATTTTTTTAAAAATAATTATGATTTCTTTTTAGGATACTTCAAGGGTAATTAATTTTTTTTTAATAAAAACTAAATACAATTTATAAAAAATAATTAGCATTTCGGTTTAGGATTTTCAAGGCTGGTTTAAATTTTTTTTATAACAAATAAAAAAATTATAAAAAAATTAATTAAATTCTTTTTTAGAATACTTCAATGATAGTTTAATTATTTTTTATAAAAATAAAAAATTATAAAAAATTTAATTAACATTTCTATTTAAATACTTTAATAATAATTTATTTATAAAATAAAAAAATAATTAGATATGACTACCAGACCCAATACTCTCGATCTATATAAGTGCTATACCCAAGTTTATTATATTTGACTTGGTTGTTGGATTCAATTCAATGCTTTTGAGTTTGTATTAGCACTAAACTCAATTGATTCAAGACACTTGAATTGGTTACTAAATTCAAAATTTATGAATTTGATATAATTATTAAATTTAAAATTTTTAAAATATTTTTTATATTTAAAATTTATTTTTATTATTAACCAATATCGTGTATCAATATTCTAGATTTATTATTAATTAATGTTGAGATTGAAATATGAGAGAATTTAATATAACTTTAGCATCTAATTAAAAATTCTCATAATGGACAACTAATTAGATTAATTGTATATGCTTTTAACTCGAGTTGTGGGAGGAAAACAAATTAAAAAGAGATCAGGCTCAAAAAAAAAAAGAAAAAAAAAACACAAATGGGTGAGCTGGCATGTGAAAGAGAGGATTCTGGTCGTTCTTATTCTATAAAATAAAAACTGATTGAATTATTTTGATATATTAATATTAAAAATAAAATTTAAAAATTTAAAAAATTATTATTTTAATATATTTATAAATAAAAATATTTTAAAAATTAACCACTATTAAACTACTTTTTCAACATGACATTTCCCAAAAAAAAAAAAAATATCTTCACCATCAATATTTATTTTCAGTCATTCCCTTAAGTTCGGAAATGTGGGGATTAAATATGTAATTTGTGAGAATATAAGGACTTATCCCTTGGTTTTGCTAAACTAAAGGGGCTACGTTTATAATAAACTCTTTGACTCCAATCATCTGGCTGGTGAATGGGTCAAATGAAACGATGACTCGACAGCTCTCTCTCTCTCTAACTTGGCTGGAGTGGCAAAAAGCTTTGATCGGACCTTCTCAGCTCACCGAAACTACTATTACTACTGGTAGGAGGAAAACAATGGCGAGAAAGAGCGGAACCAAAACGACACTGTTTTTCCTACTCATCTCTCTCATTTCTTTTCTCGCTTTCGTTCCCGTCTTCGCTCCTCTCCCTTCTTTCTCCTCCCACTACTCTCTCAATCCTCGCCGCCACCACCATCACCACCACCGAAAGGTAGTGACCAGCACGGTTGCGGTAAATCATTCTCTCTTTCTACAAGTTCAACACTCATAATCATAGCAAGCATTAATTAATTTCAATTAACTTTACTCTAATCAGGTTAAGCCTCGATCATTCGAGATCGACGACGACAAGTTCTGGAAAGACGGCGAGTTTTTCAGGATCATCGGCGGCGACTTGCATTACTTTCGCGTTCTTCCTCAGGCATCTCTCTATTTATTTATTTTCTGTTTTTATGAATTAATTTCTGGATTTATTTGGATGTGTTTACTTATTTACTTTTTGCAAAATAAAAAAATAAAGTACTGGGAAGATAGGTTGGTGAGAGCAAAGGCCCTGGGATTGAATACTATTCAAACTTATGTGCCTTGGAATCTTCATGAGCCACAGCCTGGTAAACTAGTGTTTGAGGGCATTGCTGATCTTGTCTCTTTTCTCAAACTCTGCCACAAGCTTGATATACTTGTCATGCTCCGACCCGGCCCATATATATGTGGAGGTCTGTTTTATCTACCCTTCGTTACTTATTGCTCTATGAGAGGTCTTACATTAAGCGTCAGCCTAATTAGTTGCGTTTGTTTGTTAGAGTGGGATTTGGGGGGATTTCCAGCTTGGTTACTAGCCATCGAACCGCCTCTCAAACTGAGATCGTCTGATCCTGCTTACCTTCGAATGGTATGTTTCACAACGACTTTTTTGGTAATGATGATATTGTTCATATATTATACATGTGACATTTATGGTGGACAATGGAGTTGCATTTTGTATTGTTGGTGATTTCTGGGGTATTCATGGTTTTATTCTTTTTAGAAATTGGATATATATATATATATATATATATATATATATATATATATCCCACAC